ATTACTATCAACATGCAAATTATTTCTTTCTTCTATTTCTGGGTTTTTTTCTATTTTCTATTTTTTGCGTTTTCCAGTGGAAAAACACATTTATTTCAACGCTAAAAAATTTTAATTTTTTGTTTTAAATTTTAAAACTAATTTCTGTACTATTTTCTGTATGTTTTTTTTTGTCAGTCAGTGGACATGGGGTTTTTCAATTGGAAAGAAAATCTCGTCTTTCGTGGTCTCTTAAGTATTGTTGACTGATTTTGGTGGCGACAGTGTTTAATGCCGGTATATATTATGTACATACATGCATTTTGTAAATTTGTAGGAAATAAAGATAATGAAAAGATAGTCCAAAAGCCAAAGAAAAAATTGTAAAAATAAAATATTAAAAAATATATATTTTAAATAAACAACAATATTATTTTAAATTATTAAAATTATCTTCATGTAATTAAAATTTGAAAATAAAATATTAATGACTTCATTTCGCTAGTACTAATGAGAGCTCTAGATACCCATGCACCGGGCAAGGAGCAATGAACGAGTGTGCCAAAAAAATTTCAAACTCTAGTGGTAATACAAAAAAAAAAACATTAAAAAAATAATAATATGTAAAAATAAATATTGAAAATTTATTGGCGTAAATTGAATAAATTAATAAAATTTATTTGTATTTATATATATATATAAAAGTTTATTATTGAGTTTAAAAAATGTAAACTATAAATGTCAACGAAAAAAATATAAACAAAATACACAATGCAAGGTATTACTACATAAAATTAATAAGGCTGTTGTTGTGGAATTTTTTCAAGTCAAAACTAATTTTTTTTTTTAAATATCAACTTCACAAAAGATAGAAAAATTAATTTTAATTAAATAAAATGAAATTGTTTTTCTCCACTAATACCTTTTTTAAATATTTTTTAATCATAAAAAAAAAAAAAAAAATTGTGTTTCAATTTCACAACTTTTATATTTAATTGCAATTAATTTAAATACACTTTTTGTTGTCGCCAAAAATCAAATTAAATGAAACCAGAAAATTTCAATTGATGAAAATAAAAAATAGAAAACTAAAAAAATAGAAAACGAAAATATGGAAACGTGCATTACATATATATATATATATATATATATATATATCCAAAAAAAACGCGACAGCATTTTAGTATTAATTAAATTGAAAATTTTGTAAAAAAAAGTTTGACATAAAATTTTTATTTTATTTTATAAGTATTTATGTGTATAAACCTTTCCACTCAAGTGGTTTTGCAAAAAAACTAACTAAATTATTTAATGTTTTTGTTTTTTATAATGTAAACTCGTTTGCTACATACAAAATTTCATAAACTACAAAACGTCGTGCTAGAATTAATTTACTTTATGATCAATTTTATTCAAAAGTCGATTATGCTATCCATTTTTACATAAAATAACTAAAAATTTCTCTGTTTGCATTCATGTAGGCCACTGAATGTTGCGTCAAATAAATTTGTTTTTTTAATTTTTTTTTTGGAATTTTTTATGGTTTCTTTTACAAACTTTTCTCTACACATTTATATCACTTTGTTGTTGTATAAATCAGGGATTCACCTTCATTTGCATTAATTTTTCATACACTTTTAAAAATTTCTTTTTAATTTTCAATAATTCTCAACAATTCTCGTTGCTTTCAATTGCTTACCATTTCAATTTGTTGCATTTTTAATTATTTAAGACAATTTTCAGTGTTGTGAATTGGTCGAAAATGCCGAAATAAACTTATGTACTGATGTAATGCAAGAAAACACATATTTTTTTCTCAACTGTGCAAAAGTGTACAAAAATATTCCGCGAATTTTAGAAAAAATCCTATAATTTTTTTATGTTGCCAAACGGAGGATTGATTGATTGAGCGAAAACATAAAATCTTCAAAAAAACATACAAAAAATAAAAATACAAAAAAATTGATATAATTATTGGAAAAATTAAAAAAATATAAAAGTTTTAAATTAATTATATCTATACCCGTTAAAAAATACTAACAAAAAATATTTAAAATACACTTAAGAAAAATAAAAACAAAAATACTAATACAATAACTAACACAAAAAAAAATATACACGAAAAGGGAAACAAAAAATACTAACAAAAAAAAAAAAACAAAAAAAAAAAATACAAAAAAATTAAAAACAACAAATAAATAGAGAAAGAACTATTAAAAAATATTTACAGAATTTAACAAAAATTACTAAAAATAAATACGATTCCCAACCAACTTAAATAAATTGTAAAGAAATGAAAGAATTAAATTTAGTAATTAATGTCAATTTAAGAAATTTGTTTGACGTATTTTTGGATTTTATTGTAATTGGGTTGGATATAGCTAATGACACTATCATAGACTCTAGTAATAGTCATTCACATTCACGGTGACAGTGCTAGTCTAAAAGTTGATAAAACCCAAGATATATCTTTTCCGATAGAAAGTACCACTCGAGTACCTAAGCTAGTTGGTATAATTTTTTGCTCTTACAAAAGCTCTTTCGGTGTGTTGGGTAGAAGTAAGCGAAGTAAGAACTGTTTCTCCTTTAATGTCATACACATTAACGCATTTTGTGTAAATTTTTCAACATCCAAACAACATCAAAATTCAAATCCAACCAGCTAACAGACAGTTGACAAAATATTCAAAAATTCCGATTTTCCGTCACTTCATTAAACTTTTTGTAATGAAAACGGCAACTGACAGTCGTCGTGAATGAGTCGTCGAATCGAGAAATTGTGGCGTAGAGATAGAAAGAAATTTTGTTGAGAAACTTTATGCTGAAATAAACTGAAGTGAAGCGTATTGTAAAGAAGAAAAATGTCACATTTTTGTGGTTTTTATGTTTTTAGTTTCCGCATTTCATGCTTTTGCCGTGCGTACATACATACATTCTTTATTTATCATATCATTATTTTCATATCGCATTTATTTGTATTTTAACATTATTATTAATATTATAATTATATATAAATTATTATTATTTTTTATGTTTTCTTTTTTTTTTTTTTTGAATTTTCACTTGTACTGCACATTAAAAGCATTTTTATTTATTTCTTGGTTTTGGTATTCGTAAACACTAATACATTAATAATCTTTCATTTTAGAGCATAATTAAAAAAAAAATCTTAATTGGTTTACATCAATTTTATATAATTTATGTTTTTTCTTATTTGTTTGTTTGTTTGTTTTATACACATACATATACTTATCAATTCGTTCGTTTGTTTGATTTACATATTTTTTATTTTTATCAATTTGTTGTGTTTGTAATTTGTTCAAGCTTCTAAAAAGTATATTAAGTCAAGTTTAAAAGCTTAGTTGAAATAATATGTGTGGAGAGATGAAAGAATAAAACAAACGAATCACAATTTTTGCTTTAGTACACGTGTAAGAGTGTCGATTGTTTGTTGTTGCTGCTGCTGTCGCTTTGTTTAAAATGATAAAATTTTTATTTTTAAGTAGTAAGTAAGAAGCAGTTGCACACATTTTCTTTTTGTTCACAGAAATGCCAATTTTTGTTTGTGTGAGTTGTAGTTGTTGTTGCTGTTGTTAGCTGTGCCATTTGATTTTTCTCAACATTAAAATGATTTACAAACAATGAATTATATCTTTGGAAAAACTAGCTAAAAGTAAATTGTTTATATAAATTTTTAGAATGATTTATTAATTTAATTTTATTTAATTTTAAATGGTTGACTAATTTTTTATCTGATAATTTATTTGTATTTCTAAGTTTTGCTCATTTCAATTAGTATGTTTGTAAAGTGAATTTCTAAAGAATTTATAAGTAATTTTAATGTCTTGCTTTTTTTTCAAATAAACTGTTGGAAAAAAAATTAGGAAAATATTGTAGCATTGCTAAAAGTGCACAGAGCACTTACAACAACAACAACAAATAGTAAAAGCTACAAAGAAATGCAAATCAATTGCTGTTAACAATACTAGCCAAGCTTTCTAGCAACATAAACAAATATATTTAATAATTTTACCTTATAGCATATTTCCTTGTTTATAATGAGAAACTAATTATTGCATTTGTTTTTATCAAGCAAAGTGCACTGAGTACGTACTTATTCATATGTCTATGGCTGTATGTATATTATTTATAGAAATTACATTTGCATTGGCAACTACCATTAACGAAATTAAACTCGAGCTAATTGTTGTTGCTGCTGCTAGCAACATTGCAACGATGTTATACACTAGCTGAGCAGCGCCGGCTGCGTAAATATACGTTAAAAAGTTATTAATTATAAGCGGCATCAAGTTGTAGGTTTTGAAAATTTCAATGCTTGTATGTTGCATGCAACTTTTATACTTTAGTAGCCATTCGTCGTTTGCTCTAATATTTATACTGTTGTCGATAAAAGTTGTTGCTGCTACTGCTACTGCTACTGCTACAAAAATGACAATGTTTGACGGAGTATTGAAGTCGCTGGTGTTATCAATGTATTTACTGTTGTTGCTGTTGCTGTTGCTCACACAAAGCGTCACTTGAAAGTTGTTCATTTGCTCGAAGTCCTCGTTATACAAACGTTTCCCTGAAAATGCCGCCTTTACATAATATTTGTTGTAATGTATATTAGTTGAACTTTTTATGGGCATTTGTCCGTTGCTGTTGATGAAAATTTTAATATTGTGCTGTGGAAAGTTGATGCTCCTACTGCTTTGTATGTAACTCTGATGGCATTTCTGGTGAGGATTGTTTTTGTGCTTGTTGTTGGCATTTTTATGGAATTTAACATTGTTGCCAATACATTTATTAATTAAAACACAGAATCTGTTGTTGCTGTTGTTACTTTTGTTGTTCTTACTGTGGCTGCTGCTGCCGTTGTGTTTGTTGTAATAATTAAAAGTATATTTTTTATTTTTGTTATTAGGGTTATAAGTAATATTGTTGTTGTTATAATCAAATTTGTTATTATAGTTCTTATTGTTGTTGTTGTTGTTGTTGGTGTTCTTATTGTTGTTGCTTCTATTGTTTTTGTTGCTTTTATTATGGTTATTATTGTTATTATTATTATTATTAATATTATTGTTGTTGTTGTTATAATTGCTGTAAAAGCTACTATATGCACCAACATTGCGGTTTCAGCTCATTTTTACACGCTTCCTTGGTGGTCCAATTGGTGGGATTTGTTGTGTGGCAAGCGCGCGAAATGCCTCCGCAATCAAATGTGAATGTGTCGCGATCATACTCTGCCAGCCGGTCGTTTCCATCACATCTGTGGCATGACTATATATATATATATATATAAATGCGTGTGTGTGTGTATATATAAAAGAGAAGAGAGAATGCGTTAATAAATATTATTCTGACTCTTGAGTATTCAAATTAACGCCATTTCACAAACCTTTCCCCATTTGTTTATAATCATTATACAAACATAAATATGTGCTTATGTAAATAAAAGTATAAACAAACTAACAAAGTGTGTGAAACGTTGGATTATTGTGTACGATACTCACGTATTTATGAAATCTATGGTTTGTGCTTTCAATTGATCCGCACTGTGGAGATCGGCTAATATTAAAGTTTCCGCTGCGGTTTCTACAGAGAGATTTAGGCAAAGCGCTTCTTCACACATCACTTTCAGCTTTTCGAGCGCATACTGTAAACAGAAAATAAATTTAATCGTTGAATAAATAAATCAAAGTAGTAAATTTGTTGAGTGAAATAAATCGAGTGTGGAAGGTTTTTCTGAGTTTGCTATTATAATGTGGAGAAACTTAAAAAAATTTTTATTTTATTTATATAGTTATTTTTTATGATTTAATTTAATTTTATTTTATTTTATTTTATTTTATTTTATTTTATCTTATTTTATTTTATTTTATTTTATTTTATTTTATTTTATTTTATTTTATTTTATTTTATTTTATTTTATTTTGCTTTATGTTATTTTAATTTTATATTTAATTATTTTTTACATTTTTAATTTATTTTTTTATTATGTTATTTATTTTTTATTATTTTATTTTTCAATTTTATTATTTTTTTTCATTTGAGTCTACTCCAAGAACGTACTTATTTCATCACATTTCAATATATGCTTACCTTATCAGCAGCAGCTAGGAGATCATCAGCCATTTTTTCCAAATTTGGCGCTTTGCCTGTGTAAATGAAACGCAGCATTTCACGCAAAACTTCATGATCGACATCATGTATATCAACACGATTCAATTTGCGCTCCTCCATTTCATGTTCAAACATAGCATTAAAAACTTCGCTGCGTGCTGTAAATAAGTGAATAAAAAAAAGGAAATTTTAGAAAGTTTTGAATTGAATTGAATAAAAGCAAATGAGTTTAGACAAAATTGAGATAAAGCATACAACGAACAATTTTAAAGGTTTTTACACAAATTTTGATACAAAATCTATGAAGAAATTGCTTTCACTAACTACATTTTTTTTTTACTTATTAACTCCGTGAACAAAATATTGTATAAATTTTTTTTTCTGCCACATCCTCTTACCTGCTAAAATAGCTTTATGCGCTTGATTTTTTTTTCCGGCCACCGCTAACGTTACATCACTGAATTTCTCATTATCAAATAACGCACCCAAATCTTCGGATAAGCGACATTCGGGTACTTTAAATTGTACAATATTTGATTGACCAGAGATATTCACGCTATCAGCTACAACGCTAACTTCACAGAATATTGTTAATTTATCTTCTGGTAACAGACCATTGGCTTCGTCTAGCAGGAAATCTCTTCGTATGAATTTTTTGAAGCCCCAATCTTTGCCTTGTACAAAACGGTAAGCTCTGAAAGTGAAGAAAATTCAATGGAAATTAATAAGATATTTCACAATATTTCATTTTCAATGCTGTTTTTAATGCTGCTGTGATATACATATAACATATAATACATACCTCTGCGATTCCATGGCTTTGGTCTCTTCCCTTTTCGCATTCAATATGGAAAATTTAAATTTGGCTCTAACTTCTGATTTATTACACGAAACTAACAATAAATATAACGATAAGTAATCTTTGCTCTCCTCATCGAGACCTTTTGGATTTACGCGTAAACACCTGCAAGAAAAATGATGTTTTATGATGAGTCAATGCGATGAGCGGTAATATAAACTATTTATTTAATTTTTTATTTTTATTTTTTTTTTTATTTTTTAAGATATTATTACAAACATATGTAAGTCTTTCAATTATTGGTTTAAATTCCAATTTAATTGTAATTTATACACTTTTTATTTCCTGTGATTAGCTTTTTACAAAATTTAGCTTTTCACTTTTAAATATTTTGTATCAATTTCGTATTTAATTAATTTTATTGGTTCGATTTTATTTATTTACTTAATTTCATTTCAATTCGTTTCGTTTCGCTTTGTTTTGTTTTGTTTTGTTTTGTTTTGTTTTGTTTTGTTTTGTTTTGTTTTGTTTTGTTTTGTTTTGTTTTGTTTTGTTTTGTTTTGTTTTGTTTTGTTTTGTTTTGTTTCGTTTCGTTTCGTTTCGTTTCATTTGATTTGATTTGATTTGATTTGATTTGATTTTATTTCATTTTATTTCATTTAATTTTATTACATTTCATTTACATTAATTTAATTTATTTAACTTAATTTAATTTATTTAACTTAATTTTATTTATTTAATATAATAACAAATAGTTTTATTTAATTTAATTATGATACATAATACATATATTTTAATTTATTTTGTATTTAATTTTTTTTTAATTTTTTTATTATTTTAATTTTAAATATATTTTTTATTTTTTAAGCATTTTTTTTTTTTACTTTTATTTTAATTTTTTATTTTGGTTGATTTATATTGTTTAATTCTATTTCACTCAATTTGTGTTATTTTATTTTACTTTATTTTATTTTATTTTACTAATTTTATTTCATTTCACCTATCATTTATCTATTTATTTATTTATATAATATATCTATTTATTAATTTTTCCATTTATTCATTTAGTTATTTATGTATTTAATTATTTATTTATTTATTTATTTGTATATGTATTCATCTACTCATTTATGTAACTATTTATTTATTTATCTATTAATTTTTTAATTTACTTATTTAATTATTTATTTACTTATTTATTTATTTACAATATTTACTTACTTACTGATTTCTTTATTATTATTTACTTTTTATCGTTATTTTTATTTATTATGTTTTTGTTTTAACTTGTTTTATTTAAATTGAATTAAATAATTTTATTTATTTATTTATTGTTTTGTTTTTTTATTTAATAATTTATTTATTTATTTACCTATGTATTTGTTTGTTTATTTACTTACTTACATATTTAATATTATTTATTTTTTATGGTTATTTTTATTTTTTATATTTTTCATTTTAACTTGTTATATTAAATTTAAATCAATTTATTTTATTTTGTCTCAATCGAGTTCATTTAACTTTATTTTATTTATTTATTTATATTTTATTTATATTTTCGACTTTATTTTAATTTATATAATTACACTTTATTTTAATTTAACTATGTTTTACTTTAACTGCCTTCATTTGACTGTATTTTATTTTAGTTTAGTTTTATGGTGTTTTAATTTAAGGTAAAATAATTAATTTATTTTTATTTTTTAATATATTTTTTATTTTATTTATTTATTTTTACCAAAATCTTTTTTTTATTTATTTATTTTTATTTTTTCAAATATTTCTTACCATTTTAGCTTTTTTTTAGCACCAGCGGAAAACGTGGAGGATTTTAGAACTTCACCCATTTCCTCGCGGCAAAAACTAAAATTATTTATGGTCCACATATAGCTAAACTTCACCACTTTCACCTGAAATATAAGAATTTTCAAGGAATTAATATTTTTTTTGTTGTATAAAAATAGTAAAAATATTTTGTAGTTTGTTTTGTTTTCTTGCTTCAAAAATTTCACTGATTGTAACATACATATATACATAAATTTTAGCTTACGCAGATCAACCATTAGGGTTATCAAAATGTGTATGAGACGTTAAAAATGAAAGAGGAAATATCTATTTACAGACATTTATGATATTTGAGAGCTCACTACTCAAATAGCGCAAATTCAAATCAAATTTCATGAGAAAATACATAATTTTGAAATAAAAACAAATAATCATAAGCGGATGTGTATCGGCAAATCGATTCCAAATCAACAAAAAGATCACAGGAAAATAAAAGAAAACTAAAAAATAAACAAACCATGGAATGAAACTAGAAACTATTCATGTATAATCAGAACTATGTATGTACATACGTAGAAACTTTTAAGAGAACAAAAAAAAAAAAAGAATATAATCCATAGAAATTTGCAGCAAATGTCCAAGGAAAAAAAAAAAAAAAGTGCGCATGTGCGGAAAGAAAACAAAACCGAGAGAGTCCAAGGGTGGTGCAGCGCAATTTCCTTATTATCGTTGCGTTGCGTTTTCACCGATACAAAATATGCATTTTTATTTTTTTTTATTATTATTTATGCTTGCATTTTCTACCGCATTTGCTGCGTTTGCTTAGCAGTTAAGGTTGATAGGAAGTGATTTGATTTGTTTTCGACACATTAATTGAAATTCAATCATCAAAAATACAAAACAAAAAAAAAAATAACAAACAAACAACAATAAATGAGGAAATGTATGCTCAGTTATGTTCAAAAGCCAAGGTGTTTGGTCGGCGTGTGCGAGGCGCGAAGAAGGTCAGGGTCTTCACAGGTGTGCATCTGAGTGCAAAATAAATGCGAACAGCAGCAGCAAAATGTTGCTAAATATGTATGTAAGAGTGTGCATGCATAAATGAAATAAAGAAGAGAAAAAAAAACACACACACACAATGCAAATGATTGCATTTTAGTGCAAGCAAAAAAAAAAAAAATTCTAAAAATTCCTACAGTTTCTCAATTTCACATTTTCTACATTCAACAACATTTTTTTTACAACATTTCCATTTCTAGCTGCGCAGTTGTCATATTACATACATTTTTTTTTATATTATATCAGTTGCTCGGATATTAAATGTACTACAAATGTATATATACGTATAACATATGTATAACAAAGCGCTTACCCCAATGTAAAAAATACACTAGTATGTAAAAATACTAGTTCAATACTAGTAAAATTGACAACTCGTAGCGACTTTTGGCAGAGCCTTTCCACGCACATATTTTTTTCAATCACTTTTCTGCGAGCTTGAAATTTCTATTGCATAAATGAACTGGTATTTAACTAGTATGAAGCGGATGTATATTTGTAAGATTAAAAAACTCGTAGCGACTTTTGGCAGAGCCTTTCCACGCACATATTTTTTTCAATCACTTTTCTGCGAGCTTGAAATATCTGTTGCATAAATAAACTGGTTTTCAACTAGTAAGAAAGAGATGCATGTAAGGAAAATTGACTAATGGAATTTTATAAGTCGGCTCCGAACGGGTGAATGATTTTTATGAGGATATTTTTCTTTTATGCCAAAAATGCACTCAGAAAGGTTGAGAATTTCTGCCGATGGGTGACCGCATTTAGTTGATTATGTGTTTTCTATAATTAGGGGTATGACCTATTAATCTGCTTGCCACTAGTACTAGTTAACTAGCAAACTAGTTATATTGAAGTTAACAACTGCCATCTTTCCCTACGGGGTATGCGCATATGTTCGTATGTTTAAATGCAGGTATTTACATATATAAAACTACAGTGCAAGCAGCAAAGGGTTTGTGGGTTGGAAAAAATGTTGATTGTGAAATTTATCCATGCTCCGTTGAGGTGGCGAGTTGACACGCTTATTGTTTTATTTAAGGTTCGAATCTTGCTGTAGTTGGGTAAATGCATTTACATATTATATGCATACATATATACATTCATATATACATTCATATATACCTATTATACCATGTACGAGTTTCTCCAGTTTTGTTTGTTATTATACATAATACTATTCAAGAATTCTCATTAAATATTTATTTTCTTACAGTTTATTTCCCAAAATTTTGAATTTTCTTTAATTGTTTACAATTTTTATTTTTTTTTTATATTTTTTTTTCATTTTCCGAAACCGAATTTTTATTTTCACTGATTATAGTTTAATGAAAACAAAAAAAAAAAAACAAATGAAAAACACTCACCTGTGTGTAACACCAATTCTCAAAAAAAAAAAAATTAACTTCTTGCAATGGTGGCGATGGCACCCGACTAACCGCCATTGTACTACTTGATGCGTTCAGGTTAGATGTCACTCTAGCAGTTTGGATTGCCTGACATTCGTTTACCGGCAATCTGTAAAGAGAAAAGCAGAGAGAAAAATCGTCAATAAAAAATGTTTAGAAAATGACTAAGAGAAAAGGTAACAAATAATTTGCATAGATATGTATACGCATGTGATGTGAGTACTTGCATATGTATATAGTATATATAAGAACTTTTTTCGAAGCTTTCATTTATAAGCTTTCGAAAGCGTTGAATAACTGAAGTTTTTCAAATTTAAGTTCGCCTTTTAACGAGCTTACACAGGTTTAAAAAGCATGCTTAATTAAATTTCTAAATCTCTAAAATATTGAGTTGTTTGCCTTCTAAAGAGCTTACTTACACGTAGGTTTAAAAGCTTGCTTAATTAAATTTCTAAATCTCTAAAATATTGCCTGAATTTTTAAGGTCGTTGTGCATAAAATCTGCGGAGATATAGACTTGGCAAGGGGTACGCTCAAAGCCAGGTGGGTAGGCTAAAATGCTGTGAACTTGAGAAGCATTTTTTTCGAAGCTGTGCTTTCAAAGTAGATTGTGAACATTTCTCGAAAACTATTCAAGCGATCCTTTTCAAACTTCAGACAGCTCTTCGACATACAATTCACGAGAAATTTTAAGAATCATTTTTTCTTGTTGAACATATTTTATAAAAAGTTGAATGAAAAATACAATTTTTACTAATTTTATTTTTCTACGCCCAAATTCGAATTTATGGTATTAACTAAAACATGATTTCCCTTTTTCACTTCGGATGAAACATTCATGTGAATTTTACCGAATTACCATTGCAAATGACATCTCATTGGCGGAGTTATGAATATTTTTCTTTGAAAATTTCAGAAATAGTTTTTTAAAATATATATCTTTCACACAGTAAATAATTTGAATGAAATATTTAATTTTTTGCATAAATTTTTCGTTTTTGAAAATGAACCTCTTTTCCCTTCAAAATAAACCCATGTGACCCCATGTAAATGGTTATATTCGACTGTAAAATTCAGTACAAAAGCACAAATTATAAGATTTCAAAATATTTCGTTTACAAAAGTTCATTCTCAGTTCCTTGAATTTAAATTATTTCCAAATATTTAATAAGCTTTTCATTATATTTGAAAATTAATTTTAAAATCAGCGTAGTAATTCTTAGTTCATAGAAATGTGAAACGAGAGATCAGTTTATTTTTCTTTAAAGCTTAAAGAAGCTTCACTTAAAAGCTCCATCCCCATGACACTGGGTTTTGATATGTTCGATTGCCTTCAAGTTATTCATTTTTTCAGCGAATTGTCCGTGCTTGGCAGTCACAGCAAGATTCTTGTTGGTTTTTGAAAAGTTTTTTCCTTTTTATTTGTTCTTTGAATTTTTTATTTCTAAATACAAAACTTTACAACTTCAAAAACTTGTCCTTTTCCACCTTTCTATTGTTGCAACATTTCACAAAAACAGAAAGCGATAAGGGTTCAAATAATGAAGGGAGCATTATTTTTCACATTTTTTTTTCAATTCAAAAGAAAAAGGAAAAACAAAGAGATTTATAGAATTCTATTACACACTCGTGAATATCGTCTAAGAATAATTGTTAAATCTTTGAGAAAAAATTCAGAATTCAAAGGAAAATCTTTTGTTCGGGTTTTCTACAGTAAACATAAAACTTTTTCCTTCCCTTGAAATATTATGCAATACAGATTATTTCGCAATCGAGTTTCTGCTCGCAGAGAGATAGAGGAAAATTGTAAGGCAGACATATTGGCTAAGCTAGGCGCGATCACGCGCAGATTCTTCCCGATAAAGAACACATTGGCATGCATTTTACAGAAACTCTACTAATGAGTAGCTCGAAGCAAGATGGAAACACACAGCTTTACTTGCAAGAATTTTTAGATAAACTTGACAGTAATGAAAACGGAAAAGTTCACTCGAAACATATTCTCTTAAATGAAGAGATAAATCTAAGATTGTAGGAGTCTTAACAGATCACTGCTTGATAGCACGACATACATTAAAGCTGGGAGTTTCCTTCAGGAGATACTGTAGAAGCTGTAATGATAAGGATGAGGAGCAAGAAACGTTCCCTAATCTGTTATGTAACTGCCCCGCCCTGACTGACTACACATTTGTTCTACTACAATTTTAGTGATCTTGAGATCAAGATCAACTCAATATAAAAAAAAAAAAATAACTCAATAAATAAAATCAAAATTTCATTTAATCCGCATAAATTACGATGTTTGAAGAACCATTTTGCTGTTGAAATTATATTTTTTTTCTAAACGCGCATGCTTGACCATCATCATCGATCATGATGAAACAAATGCGCGCTTCAAACAATACGTACAAGATGATTGAAAAGAGAACGGCAACAACAATTCGGACAAACAAACACGGCTCACTCACCTCGCCTCATAAATTAAATCCATTATATTACGATCGAATTCGATTGGTATTAATTTTAAATGAGAATGTGTGGATGAAGAAACGCGATTACCCGCCGTACCGGGTGTTAATGTGATGGAGGAGGTGGCAGCTGCGCGTGATGACGATGATAAAAGTGATGAAGCCGGAGATGAAGTAGGTAATGTTGACTGTGCTAATGTAGATGAGCCAACCGTCGCTACGGCCAATCTAACTGTAGATGATGACGTTGAAGTTGATGACAAAGCGGAAGATGAAATCGCTGCTGCTGTAGCCAATGCTAAAGCGAAAGCGGGTGGCAATGATGATGGTATTGAAGATGATGAGGTTGAAGTTGAACTTAATGAATTCGAGAAGTTGCTGCTTCTCGCTGCAGTTACTATTGATGAGCTGGGGTGAGCAGTTGATAACGATGAAGATGAAGATGAAGATGAAGATGACGACGACGATGTTGTTTTCTCTGATGCTGCTGATGAAGATGATGATGATGTTGACGGCATTAGAGTTGCTGACGTTGCAGCGTCAACGCCAACAGCAGCTTTCGACGAAATGTATTTTAATAATCGTACAATTGCTGAATGCTCCAGTTTGAGTTAATTTATTGAATTAACTGGCATTAATTGACAACTTGACAACGTGGAAAAAGAAGAACCAGAAGAAGTATACGCAGAAAACGTGTGGAAGAATGTGGGGTGTTTATATAAACAATAAACAAAAATTAACGCGTCTGCTGCAACAGCATTGAAGAAAAATAAAAAAAAAACCAAAACCGTAACTGTATGAAACGAGCGCAAATAAATTAAGTAAAAAAAAAAGCGCGAAGGTTTGTGCGAGCTTTTAGTGAAAGCTAAGTAGTTATACGAAGTTAAAAAAAACTTGAATTTTTAGGCAATGTAATTTCAATTTTTTTTATTACAAATATTTCTTAACGCATTTTTACACTTTCTATCCTGCATTTTTTTTTTCATTCATTTTCTTTGCTTAAATATTTTTTGATATTTTATTTAACTTTTTTTTGGTTATTTTAGTACACTTTCCACTGCCAGCTATTTTAAACCGTCTTTTTTTTCACAAAAATTAAGACTATCGCAGACAAGATCACTGAAGACTGCGCTAAGGATATGCGCAACGATCCTTAAAGTGAAAATGCGCATCAAACAAAGAAGACAGCAGATGATTTCTCAGCAAAAAACGAATATACCGAAATACAAAGCTAGAGAATAATATAAAACAAAACAAAGTGTCAACAAAGATGGTAGGTAAGAGACCAAAATCTACAGACACACATACCTACTACATAAAACACCTTTATGGACAGACAAGGTACAAGAATAACCATAAAACGGGGTGATATTGTGATAAAATGTCTTCGTAGAGGAGTTGGTGTGAAAGAAAATTGTGTAGGAAATAAAATGGTTGAACGTTTGTATACGAATAACAGAATAGAAATTGCCGCCGGCAGGATATGCCTTATGTGCTCAGCTATTGCGTGACGTCATTGTAGCTAAATTTTAAAGATGGAAACGGTAGAATATTGCTTAAACCCATAAGAAATAAGCAAAAAGATGAAATCGACTCGTAAAAATATGCTTTAAAATAATAAAAAAAAATTATTACAGAAAAGGAATATACGTATATATACGTATACTTTGGCCCAAAATATAAATCAGAAAAGAAATAAAATTTATTCAAATTGTTTTACTGAGCGCTGACACAAGGTGCAGACTAACAGTGTAAGCAAGGCAAGATTGTCGCCAAGGATCACGGTTAAAATGGAAATCAACGGATGTAAAAATAATTACTGAGAGATTCCAATGTAGTATATAGACAAACACATATGTGTGACTGTATATAACGCCCTATATGTATATATGTGGCTGGCAAAAATACTAGTTATTAACTAATCCCTCTTCCATCTATTTGCCATGCAAACAACTGGTATTTTTACACGCTGATGTCCTCCGATCTATCAATTGCCCCTGCGTGCACCTGCTGCATACTAGTTAAATACTAGTTCATTTTTGCATCTTGAATTTCTACGTCACCAAAAAAGAAAATAATTCAAATTAAAAATAAATTTGCCTATAAGAAGATTTGAGTACTCAAATTCGAAGTTAAGATGAAGCACAACGGCCATAACCGCTAAACAGTCGGTTGTCTGTCGAGTACCCATTTACAGTGCATTTCAACAGAGTTTAACAGAGTAAATGTATAAGTTATCCGCTAGCGAACTAGTATGATTTTAACTTTCAAATACTAGTATTTAAGTAGAATTTTTACATAATAGTTCAGTTTTGCACTGCAGGGATATTTCAAGGTGAATGCATACATAAAATTCTCTACATCACTATAGGTAAAGTGCAAACAATTTCAAAAATGAAATAAAATTAAATCTCTACGGTAAGCAAGGTAAGCAGCAAAAACAAATAAATACCGAATAAAAGAAGGAAGTAAGAACAGGAATCTCTCTCTCTCTCTCTGTGTATGTGTAAATATGAGTCGTTTTTGAGCGCAAGCTGCGGTTTCAATGCCCTTCAAAAGGTACTATTTATGTACATACTCGTACTACATATGTAGATAGTAACCAACACTTTAGCAATCCACTGTTCTTGATAGCGATTGG